CCAGATATCCCATATTTCTATAGTATACCGTTATCCTGTCACATGAATTATAAAATATGCCAAATATCTATTGATGTATGCTACTTGCATTATGAGATTCTCACTTTGACAAATGGAAAATTCCATAAAATTTTTATATTCACCTAATTGTATTCATCTCTTTTTTTCCAGTACAATAAATTCAATTCCAGTACAAGTGTATGGGTAGTACACGCTGGGTACGTTTAGAAGAAAGAGAAATTCAGAATTTCATATAATCTCATTTTATAAGGATTACTCTCTTTATTATTTTATTACGATATTAATAGCGATATTTTTCCCAATCTTATCGATTTTGAAAGGGTTCAAATTTATGATTTCATACTTTTTTTTTATATATGTATGTACACACGCATGTATCATAAAATTTCACACTGTACATTTAATAAAATAAAATTTTAATGAATATTTTATATAAATACAAAAATTCTTATTTTTAAATTATTAATAATAAATTCCAATAAAATACACCTACTATCAGAAATGAATATTTTATAACAAGAAATATGACGAGAGAAAAAAAAATTATGTTTAATATAAAAATATTTACAGAACCTAAAATACAAATGTTGGCATACTATAAATTAATTAAAAAAATTGACAAGTACTGTCAGAGAGTTACGTTAATGTTAAGAATTAAAAAAAAAATTGGAAAAAAATAAAAATTAAAAGATCATTTTATCGCATAACTTCAAATATCTAAGTGTATGTATGTAGGTTTACGTGTATATGTACATACGTACATATACGTGGTACGTACACATACGTGGTATTCTATATGTAGAAAGAAAGATTTTAAAAAAGACTCCCCATAATTCTTTTTTGAAATTGCTATTTTATTGAATGTTATGAAAATCAAAAATTATTTTTAAAATTAAAGAATTTTTTTTTATTAATGCTTTCAAATTCAATGTACAAAATTATTGAACATATTGGTTTTTGATGAAAATCGAATATTTGGTATGAATTAATCATACTCACTTATGTTTAAGTGTCTGTGTCATATATAAAAGTTAGCCGCAAAATAATATGAAAAAATTAACCGCATATGAACGAATCCATGTAATATCTATAACAGAAGTTGGTTCAGATATTTAAACATTCTAAGAAATTTTCCGAAAGAAATGATCAAATTTTTTCTAATTTTGATCTAATCGAAATTATATTTTGTATATGTGGCACTTTTTAAAATAAATTTTCTGTGATAGTTTTATAAAAAACGTGTGAGTTATTCTTCAGTAAAATTTTTCACTTTTGCAAAAAAAAGAAAAAAAAATTGAGGGAATTAATAATTTCAATATGTTTCAACTTTGGGATAGCCATATTTGGTATATGCAATTTAATTTTTGTAATGTTTGAAAATGTGAAAATGATAACAATTATTCGACTAAAAGAGAACTTTAAACGAAATTTTCGTGCTCTTTCCCATACTCTTGCTTTGTTTTTGTTGTTTTTGACGAAAATTGTAGCTCTAAAAAAAAGCCTCTTATTCAGTTCTTAACGAAATTTCATTGTACTTTCTTTTTTTTTACGAATTTTTTTCGTTCATGTGACTCTTACCGAAATTTTTGCTTTTTTTTATAGTTTTTAACAAAATATTTTGTTTTTATAATATTTAATGAAATTTTCGTGTTTTTTTTGGATTTTCAACATGTTCGCGCTTTTTCGGATTTTAAATGAAATTTGCTTTCCTTTTCTTATCTTTGACGAATTTTTGTGTTTATTCGGTTCTCAACAGATTTTTCGGGTTTTTTCTAATTTGCACGAAAATTTTTTTGTGTTTAACGAAATTTTTGTGTTTTTTCTGTTCTTAACAAAATTTTCGTGCTTTCTCTGTTCTTAACGAAATTTCCCAATTATTGAATTTATAATGTCAAAATTATACAAATTATGGAAATGTGAACAAATGATGGACGCACTAAAATGATTAAATGTGAGCATAAACCATTTCGGGCTAATTTTATATTTTTTATTTCACATATTTTTTTTTTTTCAATTTTTCTATTTCTCATTTTTGTTTTGGTTTTTTTTTTCATTAATTTTTTTGTTGAATTGGACCCACAATGAATGCGAATTTTCTGCTACGACAACGATCACATGAGTAAGAATTTTCCAATGATGAATTAAGAGTCACTTTTTAATCCAAAAATAATTATAAAAATATTTTAATTTTCTCATTAATACTATATTTTGATTTGTTTTTGTTTTTATATATTTATGTACATAAGTATATTATATTCACATTTAAAAATATATGTATATAAAAATTTTGTTTTACTTTTAGTTTTGTATTTACATATACATATATGTATGTATTTATAAACTAAACCTGTGGGCCACAAATTTTATCATGTACCTGCATGCATAATATATCTACATAAATGTACATATGTACATGTTAAAAATTGTTTATTAATAGATTGATGTTTTAAGTTTATATGATATTTATGTAACCGCATGTATAGTTTCCCCCCAAAGTTTATTCCAATTGACACATTTCAACGATATAAAAAGCAAGATGAAAATATAAGAAAACCAAAAAAAAATAATGAAAAGAAACTAAAATAAAATTCGATATGAAGAAAAACGATGCAACTAAAAGCAATAGTACGTTTATAAACTAGTACGTACATATGTATTTACATTATGTAGGCATATGTGCATGCAAGTATGCGTTAAGCTTACCATACTCTGGCAAATTTTTATGCAAACGAATTAGATAAAATATGATAAAATAAGAGATAAAAAGTAAAGGATTTCGTTAAAAATTTAGCAAATAAACATATGTACACGGGTCAATATACACTGGATTTTAGGAATAAATATCAGTATAAATTTTTTGTAGAACAAATAACAATCTGTTAAAAATTTCTAAATCAAAATATTTGTCAAAAATACCACGATACTTCGGTGTTACTTGAAACTTCTTAATAACATAATTTATATTAGCGTTTATGCATGTAATCCAAATAACGCAATAATGTATCAACATCATAACTAACTTCTTTTGTGGTATACAAAAACACAAATTCTAATGCCTCTACCTTAATAAACGCGTATCATTTATATTTAAATAAAAAAAATTTTTAAATGCACGTTTTTAAATTAAAGCGAGCGAAATACGCGACGATGAAAATCGACAACGCATATAAAAACTTTTTTTGTTTTAATTTTTTTTTATCTTCTCAAGAAGTCATATTAAAATATAAAATTTCTTAATGTCATGTTTAAATAATGAAAAATTCAAAATTAGACAATCGCATCAGTATATTATTATTTAGGCTCATATTGCGCGTATGCCGTTTATTTAGGCTTAGCTTTAATACAAGTATATGTAGATTCAGAAAGGCACTAACGATAAGAAAAATAAAAAAGGACCAAATAAAATGTTAAAATTTTGTAAAAAGGCAACACTTTCAATATATGTATATGAATAGTTGGCAATCCCAATATGTATTTGCATACGTGAAATTATTTTGTTTTATGTATTAATAACATAATATGTATAAGTAATATATATGTAAGTACAAAATTGTAATAGAAATAAGCGCAATAAAATCAATTAAAAAGTATATGTATAATATATAATATACATACAAACATAAATATATATGTAAGATATAAAAGCATAAAAGCAAGAAAGAAAAAAAGGAATACAATAAAAAAAATATTGCAATTATAACTAGGAGAAAAATAAAAAAAAAATAATAATAAAAAAAAATAAAAATCTATTAAGGGTGAATCGTTAAATGTATTTAACTTAGATCAATTCTCCTCGAGCAGCGCTGTCGTCGATCACAATAATTGATTTTTATATATATTATTTTTTTTTTTTTCCTTTTCTCGATAATATTATAGAAAAGAGTGGTGGCGCGACATCAGTTATTAGAACTTTTCGAAGTATTTCTGTATTTTTGTGTTCCAATTCTGTTTCTTGTGTATTTCTACAATTATTTTCTAACATAGAAAATTAATTAATTTAAAAAAAAAAATTTTTTTTTTTCTATATTATCATTATTTTCTTCTATTGTCAATTTTTTTTTTTTGTTATACGCGTTTTTTTACGATTGTTCGTTGTTTTTTTTTTCTTTACTCTTTTAATCGTGTATGTATAGTAATATTGTAAATTTGATTTTGTTTTTGTCAATTATCTCAATTGATTTCGTCTTCAACCACCTCAATAAATTAAAAAAAAAAAAATCAAAATAAAACAAAAAAAATTAAATAAATAAAAAATAAAAGAAAAAAATTGTGTTAATTAATTGTTAATCACATTTATTCTTTTCTCTAAATATATACATCGTACATAAATACTTAAGTACATAAATTGTATATAAAATTTAAAATTAAAAAAAAAAATATTTTAATATAATTGATTATAAATTAATTTATAAATAACTTAACATTGTTATTGTTTATAAAATTGTACCAGAGTAACAAAAAAAAAAAAAAATTTAATTCAATTTAAAAAAAAAGAGAGAGAAATAAAAACAATAATTAGTATAAAATTAAAATATTCTAACAGCTTAAAGTTCCGCGATATTAAAACTGAAATAAAAAATTTGTATATAAAATAACGCATGTATAACATAATATTATATATATATTTATTATATTTATTTGCATGTACATATTTACATATGCAATTGAAAAAATCCGAAAAAAAATAAATAAATATATAATTAATTCAAGTTTATAAAATGAAATTAGCTATACACAACAAATCAATAATAATACCAAACCAATACAAATTAATTGATTTTTAACAACAAATTTTTAATAAAATAAAAATTTCAAATACAAAAAAAAAATTAAATTTCTGTAAAATAAAAATAAGGTGAATATAACCTCTTATATATATTTTATATTGTATATATATAAAATAAATATAATATATAAAATATAATTTATATGTAAAATACATAAAAAAAAAAACAAAATTAAATTACAAACTATTTTATATTGAAGACCAATCAAACATCACTTTTTTTCGTGCTGTCGTTTTAATTGCACGGCATATTAAATTAAAAATATATTTTTTTTTTTTGCAAAAAAAAAAAAATAATTAAAAATAAAAAGCAGAATTCAATATTTGGTATATATTTGACATTTTATATTTATATATATATAGTGTTAAATTTTTTGTTCATTATTAAAATTATTAATTGTACCACCTACCCCACAGATTTATAAAATAAAAAAAAAAAAATTAAACAATAAAGGAATATTTTTTTTTTTCCAATAAAAAATGGTAAGTTTCTGTTTTTTTTTTTGCTTTTAAATATTATTATTTAATTAATTAAATTTATTTTTATTAATATTATAAATATATTTATATGTGAAATTATCAAAATGGCGAATATAATATTGTTATACTCGCCATATTAGTATTTAATAAATTATTGATTTTTATTTTTCTATTTTACCCCGTTTCAAATAAATCAATTGGAATGTGACAGAGAAAAAAAAATTTTTATGCTAACCTATATAATTTTAAAATCAAATCTAACCTATATATATAAATTACAAACTTATACGCCATCTATGCATAAAATAAAAAAAAAATTTATAATTAAATAATTATGTAATATTGGCAATATTTTAATTCACATTATATATACGTATACGTGCATATCTATATTTGATTAGTATGTCCTAGCAATATATATATATATATATACATATATGCAAAAATATATAAATTTACATAAATACTTAAGTATAAATAGAACTAATTAAAATTGTATTAGTCAAGGTAATAATATTATAAATTTGTATAAAATTATAAGTAATATAGATGCGCGATTGCAATAATTTTTGCGATTTGATTAAAATATTTTTTAGTAATAAAATAAAATAAATAGTAATAAAAACATAAATAATATTATATAAATATTAATTTTGTTATATAATTATTGAAATTATAATTTTATAAAAAATAAATTAATAATAAATTTATTTAATTTAATTTTTTTCTAAATTTTATAAATTTAATAAGTTATTTTGAAAAATTTTGCGTAAAATATTACTTACACTTTAATTAAACAAAATTATTAATTAAATTTTTAAGCCTTTTATATGCTAATAATAAAAAATAGACTTCGAGACTCGATATAAACTAAATTGAAATTGAAAATATTAATTTAAGTCGATTTTTCTCAGAAAAATATTTAGGATGAAAATATTTAATATGAAACAAGAATTTGTTTCTCTTGAGAATATATTTCTTAATTCATTTTAAATTAAAGTGGAATTACAAGCTAACCAATCTAGTTAACCAATCATCTGCCAATCTAGTTTATATTAGTGTTTTTGTTATTTTTTTATCGCAAAAATTATTGTTCTCTAAATTAGTAACAATTAAAATTTTTTAATTTAGAATTGAAAAATTTTATAAATAATGAAAACCTATTTTTCTAAAATTGATTCAATATCTTCCTCCAAGAAAAGAAAATAATACTGCCTTTTCGAATACATTTTTGATAGTACTGCCATGTAAATTCTTACTTAACTAAAATGCTGAGACAATAGTACTATTTTTTCAAACACATTTTTTTGATAGCTTGAAAAATACTTTCTTTTCTAATAAACTGCCAATGAAATACTAAATTAGTACTGAATTTTCAAAAACACGCTTACTTGACATTGTATAACTATATTTTTCTTTGAAAAATATAAATAGACAGCTAACCGTTAGAAAATGCTACGGTCTCAGAAGTTGCATTATTTATTATATTTTATTTATTCTATTGCTTTAATAAATTTCTCGAACACATTAAGATTTTTCTCTTGATACTACACGTGATTGTATACGAGTACAATAGCTTTATTCATTATTTCAGATTCAATGAGAAAAATTTCGTCTTAAATTTATTAAAATCTATATCAATTATCCTGGAATCTGTACAGTGCATAGAACCGTTATATATAAGACCTCACAGAGCCGATTTCCAAAAATCTCCCTGAACAAAAGCTTTTAGTCTATTCGAGATCTTTCTAACAATACCCCGTATTTGACCACATTTGTCGAGTTTAAATTTTCGTATATATGGCTTTGAAATGGCTCGAAAAATCGTTTCAATTTTCGAACATTAAAATTTAATTTTCTTTCGCTCTTGAAGTACTGATAATTTTCCGAATCTGCAATTTTCCTAAAAATTTAAAAATGAATAAAGAAGACTCTTGTATGTTGGACACGAAATATAACCACCACAAATAAAGTCAACTCTTAAGAATTAAAGGAATTTCTTCTTCATTTCAAAGAATTTTGGTTTTTAGAAACAATCGCCAGATTTTTCTAAACAATTTCTCAAAAATTCATGGTTATCGTATTAATAATGTAGTAGTGCATAAAGGACACACAGACAGATATACAATATATACGATCATTTTTATATATTATGTATGTAGAATGTATAGATAAAATTTCTTAATTCATATACTTTGAAAATTTGAAAAAAACCCACGTGATTTATCATTTATTGATTGGCACCTTAATGATTTAAGAGATTTTTTGGAATGATTCATAATTTAATATTATATATTTTGCTAAAATTTCGTATTTTATTTGAATTATTAGTATGTGATAGTAATAATTTTATAAAAAAATATGGAAGATATTTATCAGACTGACGTAATTTATGCTGATTTCGGCAATGATGTAATTATCATGGAATTCAAACTTTTAGAGTAACCTGTTGACTTAATATACTACGCATACTATATGAAGACAATCGATAAGATTATGTGTAATTCTATGCAAAACACAACCTCCTCGAGCAACTTTAACATCCATTAACTCAGCTGTGGTTATGATTTGCATATAGACCTATAGGTCTATATGCAAATCATATAGACCTATAGGTCCTTGCTTTGATAACATGTTATCATTAATAAACCGTTATAATCGTATTATAGGAAAATCATGTTATACGCATGTTGGTCTACATATAAAGGTTGTTCAAAGGAATTTATGATTCGTATATTGATTCTAATTTCTTAATATAAATTTATGTACGCATTCAAGCAAGCTTTTCATAAATAGGATGTCAAGTTAAAATAAATAGGGATGTAGGGTATACATTAAAAAAAATATAATTTATTCTTATATTATTTTAATATTATAGTGGGACCATTTTAGTTATCCAATTTTTGTTTTTAAATTCGAAGTTCAATAAATAGTTTTTAGTTTTTTGTAGGCTACACACGCATATGTTTCAAAAAACAAACGATCGAATATTATTTATTTGTATGCGAATAAAATTTGGAAGATGTACGCTATAATCAAATCTTATTTCTTCTTTAACGACCATAATGCATATACTCGTAATACAATAGGAAGGATTGTGATCTCACGAGATTTCGGCGGAAACATATATTCCTTCATGTTTGACACGCCATCTGTATTGATCTGTCTGTTTACTCCCACATTTCAGCTTCAGTGAAATCAATTATAATAAAAATATGTGTGACTAACTTTATTTTATGTTAAATCGCTTTAAATAATATAGATGTATTGGAATTTCAAAATATTATTGAGAAAATGTATACATTGTGCATGGTTATGTACTGACAATATTTTTTTATTAATTAAGATTCGTATTAATCATATGCGCGAAATTTGGAAAATTTTATTATTCAAAGGTGTAAAAACGAAATTCGTAGGTGATAGCTGATTCAAATAAATTTGTGTCACAAAGAAAGAATCGATGAAATTCTGTCCTGTATAAAATCTTGAACAGTGCTTATGGCATCGGTCGTTTCCCCGAAGAGTCTCGAATTCAAGCTCTGGTCAGGTCATTATAACAATTATGTTTAATAATATATAGTTATGTTATTAACAATATTGTTTGTTAGTTAGTTTGTTGATGTGTGCAGGTGCAGAAGATCCACCGCACCCAAATTAGCGCAGATGTGCCGCTTTGCACATCGAGAATGCAGTTATTTTAGGCAAATAATTATTTATATCTGGTACCCCTATTTTAATGTTTGATATAATTAATTTTGTTGTAGAACGGTTGCATTAGAAATTAATCATTACAGCATTAGACATTTTTTTACCAGTTTTACTAATAATGATTATGTCGGATAGCCGGGCTGTGATCGGAGCTCTGAACTCGTTTTCAGTGTCCTCCGCGGTAGAATGGGGTTGTCTTAAGAAGCTCAATGAGTTAGGCAGGTGCAACCGGGTAACACTGTGTTGGGTGCCGGGCCATGTAGATGTGGAAGGAAATGAGGCCGCTGATGCGCTTGCAAGGAAGGGGGCAAACACACCTCTTCTTAGGCCGGAGCCCTTCAGCGGAATCGAACCACATACTATTCGTTGGGAATTAAGGAAGGAATCAGAAAGAAGGCAGTCGGAGCGCTGGAGAAGTCTTCCGGGGCTGCAGCAAGCCAAGGAGTTCCTGGGAGATTATGACCAGAAGCGATTTAAGAAAATTATAGGGATGGGTAAGAACCAGGTGAGAGTCCTCACCGGCATTTTGACGGGTCACTGCAGGCTTAGCGGACACCTCAGTCGGCTGGGCCTGGAAAATGAGGATACTTGCAGATTCTGTGGCGAGTATGGAGAGACCTCGGTGCACCTCCTGGCGGAGTTACGGTTTTCTGGTCCTCACAAGTTGCTTGAGTTTATCAGGAGGGTGAGTCTCCTGATGAACTCAAGGAGCGCCCTCGGATGGGGGCACACAATAGATCCTTATGCGTGGTCGCGGTGCACTGTTGGCCCCGTTGTACAAATCTAATCAAATCTACTAAAGAGGAGCAGCCTATATTTAGATAAATATATATTTTATAATTTCAAGGACTATTTTATTTTAATACACACACATAAGTTATCTAGGAATATATGCGTTTATAGTGTATTATAATTTATAAATCACTTTGATTTATGATATGTACAGTGGTTATTTATTTCTTTTAATATTTTTCTTTTAACTTACATATATCTTTTACATCCCAGGCCTTCAAATACATAAAATATGTTTACGCTTTTCTAAGTATTAAAATTTGTAAACGCACACCTTAACTATTGAATTAAATTTATTTTAAACGTTTAGTTTTCGTTTTTTTAATATTTTGGATAATTTCAAGTTCTTTTATCTCTAATACAAAGTACAACACAGCGTTCAAACCCCAGTTTAGCTTCTATAGAGGTTCACCGTTAGACGACAATCGACGGTCGAAGAAGCTCTATATTTTTGTTCGGTCGAGATGATTTTTAAATATAGTTCTTGAATAAGCAGCAAGGAT